AGGGTTAATAGTTACTCCATTGGCTGATAAATATAATAAAAAATATAGCCTTATTAACTAATATATTATATCTTTGTGCAATCATTTCTACTATAATTACTCATTATTAAAGCAGTTATACTCTTTGTTTTATTACTGGAGCTTTATGGGGAATGACTGATTGTACTACTTAAAGTATGAATTGTACTTTAATTTCAACTATTTATGAAAATGATGTCAGATGCTTTGGAATATGGAGTATTTAATAAAATTCTAGTTGCTTAGTTGGAATGACTTTTAATATTATTTTTAAAGAAACTAATATTATTTATTATCTTTTGATTGCTTTATTTAATTAGATAATAACTAATTTAATTATTTTGTAAATAATATTGAAAAAAGAAATTTTTGAATTGATAAATATTTATTTTTCAATCAAAAAATATTTTATTGATATTGAAACATATGTAAAAAAACAGCCTTGATTTAATTTATGACATTCAATTGCTATAAATCAAATAAATGAAAATAAAAAATTATATAAAAATAAAATTATTATATTAACATATACAAATTAATAATTTATTTAGTCTTTAATATTTTTTAATATATTTTTATTTTTTATTAAAAAATTCAAAATTGAATGTTTTATTAAAAATTTAAAAAATTATATAAATGTAAATTAAATAATTAATTAAAATATATTATAATTAATTATAATATATTAATTTTAAAATATAATAAAAATTATGTCATGATATAAAATTATTTACAAATATTTATTTTAGTCATTTTTATTATTATATAAAGAAAAATATTTAGTAATTAAATAAGTCACAATAAAAAAAGGAAAATATAAATCTTGTAAAAAATAAATAATTAAAAAAAGTAAAAATATATTAAATATTTTATAATTATAATAAAATATTTTTAAAAAAAAGTAAGGACAAAAATAAATATAAAAAATAATTGAATATCTAGATATATGTTACTAAAAATATTTAATATAATACAATTTTAATAAAAATATAAAAATAATATAAAAATAAAAATAAATATAATAATATTAATAATATAAAAATAATATAAATAAGAAAAATAAAAATTATAATGAAAAAATAAAAATATATAATAATACTAATAATAAAAATAATAATAATAATAATAATAATAATAATAATAATAATAATAATATTAATAATAAAAATCATATAAAAATTAGTAATAATAATAAAATTTATGAAAATAATATAAAAAATAATTATTTTTATATATAGAAAATAAAAAATATATGGTTTTTGTATTAAAAAATAATAATTCATAAAATATTTCAAAAATAATAATGTAATAATTATAATGAAAAAAAAAAAAAATTATAAAAACATTAATGATAATATTTAAAATAAGTATATTAAAAATAATATATATTGTATATATAAAATAAAAAAATAAATTTTTTTTGTGTTATACATATTTCCAAAAAAATAATGTTATAAAATAAAATTATTTATAAGAATTTTAAATAAAAATAAAAAAATAATAATAAATAAAATATATAAAATATTAAATAAAAAATTTATTAAATTAAATTAAATTAAATTAAATTAAATTAAATTAAAATTTTTATATATTAAATAATAATAAAAAAAAATATGAAAAAACATATAAATTATAATTAATTTATAAAATAAAAAAAAAAAACGTATCAAATAAATAAAAAAAAAATTAATACAATATTTTTAAAATATATATATTAATTACAATTGTAATTTATATATATTTATATTTTATTTTATTTTATAATTTTTATTAAAAATAAAATTAATAAGTTATATATAACATTTTATTAAAATTATTTTTATATATAAATTTATTATTATATTACCTTATTTTTTATTTTATTCATATTTTAATAAGATATTTTTTTATATATATAATTTTTTTTTTTAAATAATAAAAATTAATATGTTTAAAATTTTTATATATATTTAAAATGATATTCTTTATTTATTTAGTATATTTTCATATTTTAATATATTTTATTTCTTTATTTAATATAATTTTTTTTTTATATAATTTTAATTTAAAATATATAAGATATTTTTTTTAATTATAAAAATTGTGTTTATTTGTTTATAAATAATAAAAACAATATGGGTGCATTGTTTAATGTTATATATTCAAATTTAGTATTTATGCTTTATGTATCTTCAGCAAATGCAGGATTGGGAATTATAAGTTAAATATTTGATTAAAAAGAATATTTGAATTTAGGAAATACATCTTTATTTATAATATATTTTATTTCAATGATTAATAGCATATTAGCTCCTATGTATATTAAAAAATTGTCTTGGAATTACGTATTTACTTTAGGTTCCTTAGGTTATATATTTTTTTTATGTTAAGGTATTTTGGTTTGTAGCTGTAAAACTAAAACATAATATTTTTATTGTAGTACTCCTATTATGTATGTTATTATTGTTATAGGATCTACTATTTGTGGCTTATTAGCATCTATATTATATTTAGCATAAAATTAATATTTGTCAGAAAATACATAAGATAATAATAAAAGCTTATATTTTGGAATTGGCTGGTCATTATTGTAATCTTCATATATAATAGGAAATATTTACTCAGCTTTTTTAATATAACCTTTAGGATAATATAATTATTTTATCTTAATGACAGCAGTTAGTGGAGTTTCAGCAATTTTTTTTATTTTTATAAAATCGCCACCTATTTAAAGTTAATTATTGGTTAAAACTTAGAATGATTTTGATTAAGAAAGAGTAATAACTAATGATCAGACTTTTATCGTTGAATAATTTTATTAATTAGAATTAAAAGTTTAAATTAAAAGTATGATATAATTAATAAAAACAAAATAAATTAGACCTTTACTTTTTTATATGTTTTCTAGTGGAATTATTTTATCATTGGAATGGGAGTTTTGAATAGAATTGTTAAAGAAACTCTTCCTTTAAATGAATCTGATGAATATATTAACAAAAAGACTTTTCTTGTTATGATTACTTTAGGTGTTTTTTAAGTTATTGGAGGATTACTAGTTACTCCATTGGCTGATAAATATAATAAAAAAAATATAGCCTTATTAACTAATATATTATATCTTTGTGCAATCATTTCTACTATAATTACTCATTATTAAAGCAGTTATACTCTTTGTTTTATTACTGGAGCTTTATGGGGAATGACTGATTGTACTACTTAAAGTATGAATTGTACTTTAATTTCAACTATTTATGAAAATGATGTCAGATGCTTTGGAATATGGAGTATTTAATAAAATTCTAGTTGCTTAGTTGGAATGACTTTTTCTATTATTTTTAAAGAAACTGATATTATTTATTATCTTTTGATTGTTTTATTTAATTAAATGATTACTAATTTAATGATTTCGTAAATAAAATTGAAAAAAAGAAAATTTTGAATTGATAAATAATTATTTTTTTAATTAAATTAATATTTTATTGATATTAATTTTATTTTTTATCTTCTTTTATTTAAAAACTTTAGTAAATTAAATTTATGTTTATTACATATAAAATTATTTTTTGAAAAGTTAAATATATTAAAACGATATAATAATTTGAAACATTAATAGTTTTATTATTAAAGTTTAACATAAATTTAATAAAAGTAAAAATATTTATTAAAATAAATATAATAATATACGATTATATTAATATAAAAATATAAATTTATAAAATTATAAATATTAATAAAATATTAT